AAAAAAAAAAAAAAAAAAAGAGAGAGAGAGAGAAGTATATTAATAAAGAAATAAAACAGAAAACACATTTTGACTTCCCTCCTAGATGAAGAGGGTGGCAATTTGGAACTCAGGAGGGCAGCCCTCTGAGCTTTGTGTTCTTACTCCCCTGGGAACAGCATTACTTGGCAATGGAGTGATGGTATTCAGAATTTACATGTTAAGAGGGGAAACTCAGCCCACCCAAGAGGCTAACACTTGTCCTACTCCTTTGTGATTCATTCTCACATTCTCCTGTTCAGACCAACCCCAGGCTCAAAGTTTCTTGATCCAACCCAAAGGCCCTGTGAAAGAAAGAAAAGGCAGTAGAAAGCAGAGCCCACATGCACACACTCGGTGGGAGCACCTCTCTAGCAATCCCTGACTTCTCCAGGGCCACCACCACCTTGCGTCACACTCCAGCCTGCACCTTCTCTCTGGTCAACGTCACTGAGCACAAGGCTAGGAAAGTGAGTTTCTTGCCTCTGCATCTGCACCAGGCTTCCCGCCCCTTACCTGGGTCATTTTGTCCACAGAGACCGGAATCCCATCGATGGTGAGAGGCGGCAGCTCAGAGTTAACCTCCTGTGGCGCAGGGGCGTGTTCCGCCAGAGCGGACTCCAAGTCTTCCAGGATCATGCTCTTGTACTTTCGCACCTGCAGGGAATTAAGGGCAGAAGTAAACAAGCTGCTCAACAACCGGGGAAGACTGGTGCCAGGCAAGAGCAGAGTGGGTAGGGCAGGCGTTCCTGAACCATTGCAGAGCCCTGAGAGCAAACACTCCTGCAACTAGCTGGCCCCAAAGACATCACACTGCACAGAATTAAAGAAAAGATGATGGAATTACAGATACTAACAGCAGAAAGAGGCAGTGAGACACGTTTTATGGAAATACTGCTTCCCAGTTAAATTCATGTTTCCTAATTGAACACAAGCCCATCACCTGCTCGAGATCTACCAGGAATGGCATTATTCTGCATTTCCCAGGCCAGGTGATAAACACCTGACTGTGGCAGTTAATTACCAGAATCACATCTGTAAAATTCTAAGTAACCTGTTTGAAACTGCTGCTTCTTTTCCACAAAGGCAGACTACCACACAGATATGAGATGCACATGCACAAGTGGTTTAACTGAGAAGAATCAAAATAAAAACCAGAGGCATTTATTGTAGCTGAGCTTCAGAAGTGCCGCTCCCAGTAAGGATGGGGGCCAGAGAGCCCACAGGTCACACCCTGCTCCCTTCTATGGCTCCCTGGCCACACCGGTGAACTTCAAAGCTGTGATGGCTCTGCAGCAAGCGCTAGCCTGTGTCCAAACTAGTCAAGTGTTCTCCGGCTCCAATCCTTGCCACCAAGAGGGAGACGTCTGCAAAGAGAGCCCTGCAGTTGCACAGGCACACAAACATGCACACATTCTCTTGGGAGCAGGAAGGGAAGCAGACACTGGACCCTACAACCACCAATAATTGGCTCTCTCTTTTGGAAGAAAACACAGGGGGATAGGAGACCTCTGGGGATGATGTAGAAGCCATGGAATTATGGAAATATGACAAGAAATGGCCTTCAGGATCAAGGCATCACCTCACACTTTTTAAAAAGGAAAGAGAAAGTGAGGTTTCTCAGAAGTACTGACAATGTTTGAGTCCTGGGTGTTCTGCTAAGTGGACTTAGACTCCCAGTCAAGATGTATTTCCTGGGACTCATCATGAGAATTATGTAAGGAAGTTCCCATATTTTACCCTAAGCATCTGGTAAATATTGTTGGCGTGGTGATACAACTTTTCAGTTAAAAAATTCTCCCAACATGTTTTGACTAAGAGGGCGAGGGAAAAATAGAATGAATAAACACCCTTATCACTCTACAGATGATGATGATGATTATTATTGTTTTTGGGGGGGCATCAAACTCAGGACCTTGCCCTTGCCAGGCAGGTGTGGCACTGAGCTAAATCCCAGCCCTCTATAGATTATTTTATCTCGTTTCTAAATATAAACACATCGTACTAAATATGTAAGGTCATATCTATGTGGGTTTGATTACAGAAACTAATAAAGTATTCTCTAAATAATGAAAAAAAGAATAAGATAAGACTATAAGAGCAAGAAGCAATTTAAATATGTTCAGGGACCATTTTCATCTCCAGAATTAAGGATTATTTTGATGTTACATCATTGCCTTTTCTCTTTTACTTTTCTTTTTAGTTTTATTTTAGGATTCCCTATTTTTAATGTTCATACAGAGATTTCTTTAACTGAAATACCGGATAGTTTCTTTGGTGTGAAAAACTATAACAGTACACAGGATCCTAATGAAACAATTAATAATGTGAAATAGGAAGTAAAGGGCTAAAGGTGTAAGGAAAGTGGGAAGGGTGGGGGAATGGTAATAAGGGAGAGGAAAAAAATATGAGAAACTGAAAAAATGGAAATAAAGTGTTTGTAAATGGGGAGGGGAGGAGGGGGGGAAGGGAGGGCAGGGACAAGGGGAAAAATGAGAATCAAGACCTATTACGTAAAGGTACAGAATCCCAATGATGAATGTAACTGTATTGTATACCTAGATTGTACCAATAACCTCAATAAAAAGAAAGAAAAAAAAAACTGCTTTACAGAAAAATTAAAATTAAAAAAATAAAAAAACAATTTCAACAATTGGTCAGCTGGGTGTGGTGGCTTATGCATGTAATCTCAGCTACTTGAGAGGCAGAGGCAGGAGGGCTGCAAGTTCAAAGCCTACCCCGGCAACTTAATGAGACTCTGTCTCAAATAAATAAATTAATACAATAAAATTTTATATATGGCTGGGAGAGAGAGGGGGAGGGAGGGGTGGGAGAGAGGGAGAGGGAGGCAGAGGAGGAGGAGGGGGAAGGAAATGTTTATTGCAGCATTAATGGTATTGCCACAGCAACTTGCAACTATACAGGGTTACATTTTCTGTTTTCGGTATTTCTCTATTCTATGTAGAATTTTTAGGCTACCAATCCACAGAAATGACTGACTCTTAGAAGTCATGGGTTTGGTCTTTGAAATTTAACATAGCAGGTTAAATCCCTATAGTAGGTGTAGGCCCATAGAAAAATGAATGTTAAGAGTATAAAACATATTTCATTAGGCTGGTAATATCTAGCATTCAAAGATGAGAACTCATAAGTGTATTGCTATTTGGGGGGGGGCGTGTACTGGGAATTGAACTCAGGAGCTTGCACCTGCCAGGCAGGCACAGTGCTACTGAGCTAAATCCCTGCCCCAAGTTTATTATTATTACTGCAGCTAGTTTCAAACAATTACAGCTATTTTTGTGAGTTAGTAAAATTCTAAAACTTCACATCCTAGTGTTTTGGTAAGCTTGTTCATGCTACATAATTCTTTTAAAATATTTTGATTTTTTTTATATAAAAATGCTGGTAGAACATGCTTCAGAATAATTTGTAACCAACAACTTCAAGTAACTGCAGTGCCTACACTTGCTATGTAACTTTCCCAGATTTACAAACTAGTGTTTCAAAGCTTCCTGATCTCTCAGCTCTGAGATGTGCTTCCTCCCACCTCTATCAGTCCTCTACAATTAGGATATGTCCTTGAAATTGCTGTGGACCAGGCAGCAAGGGGTAAGGTTGTCACTCCTGCACACACGTGACCAAGGTCCATCCCTGAAAGGTCCTTGCCTTTCAGCCAGTAAAATCATTCTGCACCACCTGACAAAGGCATGTGAGCACTCTGATAACCTCCCAATTCCTGTTATGACTAAGAAGCATCCACATCAAATTTGTGATAAGTTGGGAAAACAAAACCTCAAAAGATTTTTAAAGAAATATAGCAATACCCAAGAATACAGTATTACATGGGGGGGAAAAAAAAACCAACACAGACAAGTAACTGAAACAAGTAATTAAAAGAGATGGATTGGATGTGAAGAAGTTTCAGGAATATATTTTACTTAAAAGTTTCCTTTTTATGTTTAAACAGAAGTGATACACTTATTGGAAAAGTACACAATAAATAATAAATAAGTGCACAATAAAAATACTAGGTGATAAGCAGTGTGTCAGAGTCATTAACAGTTTTTCTTTCTTTGTGGTACAAGAATACTAGCACATCTTATAACTGCTTATCTCACAACAGACAGGATGAAATACAAGTTCCTTTGTATTTCTGCCTTCTATTCCTATACCAAGGTTCAAACCTTCATCACTTCACACCTACATTATATCAATTAACTGGTTTCACAAGTAAAGTAAAAACCACTGAAAGTCAAAACTAGCTACCAGTTTCTCTTCCTCCAGTTCATCCTGTACACTTAAGATTTTGGAAATACTTATCAAATACCAGTCAGTGGGCTGGGGATTTAGCTCAGTGGATCTGCCACCTGCCTTGCAAGCACAAGGTCCTGAGTTTGATCCCCAGTACCAAAAAACAAACAAACACAAAACAAATACCAGTCACTGAGAATTTACTATGCTCCAAGCACCACTGCATATGTTGTCTCAATCCTCATAATATTGCCTGTGTGCGTGCGTGTGTGTGTGTGTGTGTGTGTGTGCCCTTCTCATTTTGAGATAGGGTCTTGCTAATCTGCCCAGGCTGGGATCAAATTTGAGATCCTCCTGCTTCAGACTCTCAAGTAGCCTTATAATTCCATGAGAAAAATACTATTATGCTCACTTCACAGAGAAGAAAACTGAGGCTTAATAAACATAAATAACTTCTCCCATAACATAAAGCTAACAAGGTGTATAGCTACAAATCAATGTAATTTTTTAATCTAGATCTAAAGCCTGAATGTTCAGCCACTTCATTCTCATTTATCTTTCTCAAAAAATGTTTTCTATTTTTTTAATAGGATGAAGTATGAGCTTCTCATCCCAGCATTTCAATCTTAACAATAATTCTCCACTTTTCTAATATTGCTCTGCCATCGGATACAGCTGGGTCTGTCCACCCGTAGACTCAGGATGGCACCCTCGTGGATTCCTGTTACAGTAGCCTGCCTTATCCATGGTTTTAGTTCCCCATGCTCAAGTTGGTCCCAAAATATTAATATTTGCCTTGATTCTTTCAGAGAGAAAGGCCATACAATACCTTAATTTTATAACCAAATGTTGCAATCACTCGATTTCTTAGTTATTGTTAATCTCTTACTGTACATAAACTTTATTATGGGTATGTACCTATAGGAGAAAGCATAGTAAACAGGGATCCTCGGTTTCAGGCATCCCTGGGGTCCTGGAATGATCCTGTGGATTGGGAGATTGCAATGCACAACCACAGAGCCTTCTGGGCAACTGTGCTCATTCACCTTTTGCTTTAGCTGGCCAAGCCTCTTCCTTCATCCTTGCACATCTAGCATGTTCTTTTCTAACTCTGAGTCATTAATTCTGCTTCTCCAAATATCATCCATATTTTAAGTTCCAATCCGACTCCTATCAGTTCTGAAAAACCTTCAGTGCTCCTGCCATATTCTCTTCTCTGTGAAATTCCCACAGTCTAAATGATGGTGTGTTATGTACACTGTTTCCAGAACACACTGTATACAACCAGTGTGCAACACGCTAGTGGAGGGACTGAGTCTGCTTATTTTTTAAACATCTGTTAGGAAAATCACAAGTCTGAACCCAATCTGGTCAACTTGGAGATTTAGTAAGACTCTTCAGAAATA